GCGTCCGCGTGTGCCTCACCTTGCTCCCACTGCGCCTTCCTGCGCTTGTGGTACGAGCGGCGCCAGGGGTGCCTCCACACCTTGCGCACCGCCACCTCCTTGGTGGGCAGGAAGGCCGCGAACGAGCCCTCTATGGTGTCCGGGTTGCCGCAGATGGCGTGCGCCGTGTCGCAGTAGTACGAGCACTTGCCGTGGAAGCACAGGTTGTTGGAGGGCGACACGAAAAACGTCTTGAGCAGCTCGCCCTCCGCCAGCTCGTACAGCTCCGTCGTCATGTTGAGCACGCGGCCCGTCACGGGCATGGCGCGCCGGAAGCCCAGCAGCCTGAAGCAGCAAAGAGAAACAAACACGTGTCAGCTCTTTGCGCAAATACAGACAGAGCTTCATGATCATCTGGATGGGTGGGAAGGTTCATGAGGAAGTGAATAGAGCATACGCCTGTTGCCGCTGGGGACCCGGGTTCTATCACAATGCCCATCCGTGTGAAATTTCTGGAGGGAAAAGCGGTAGGGGTTTCTCGGGGTTCTCCCGTTTATTCTGCAACTCATTACTCATCTGTTCGTGGGGGAATGGTTAGTGCATCCGCCTGCGGCCGATGAACCCGGATTTGATCACAACGTCCACCCGTGTGAAATTCCTGGAGGACCAAGCGAACTCTCGACAGGATTTTCTCGTGGTTCTCCTGTTTACCCTGCATCTAATTAAGCATCTGCTCCATCATCATTCACCTCACCATCTTTATCACATACTCAACAAAGATATATGAGACATATGACCTTAGATGTTAAAGGGTTCATACAGCTCAGTAAATACATTAATAAGTATGCGATTTCGGCAGATAAATATTTAATGTTGCTCTCAGAAAACAACTAGCCGCAGTTGTTTAGGGATTGGCAGACTTTCTTATTTAGTGGCATATAAAAATCTGTAAATGCTCATTGCCGACTAATTGCAAAACATGGGCATAGAAGCTTGAAAGTGTTAATGATTTTGCCTAATCTGGAAAATAAACTTTTGCAAAAACCTTGTACTCTGGTGGTAATGATAATTACTCCAAATAACACTATGTTTTAAATTCTGTCAAGTGCTAATAAAATCATATTTTATAGTATTTCATTCGATATCAAGACTGCAACGAGTAAATAACTTTCATGATCAAGTATACGATTTATTTTGATACAAATTTCCTGTGTTAGGTTACATTCAAAAGATTCGATTCATTTATTAGCGCTAATTACGGTTTTAGCGCTCTTTGTTGCTTCACGTGATTCGATCATTCAGTGTTGATGATGAATCTGGATTGACCCATTGTGCACTGCCTGAGGAGATTATGATTAGAGTTTCCTGCATTCACGACGCACATTTCTAAAACTATCTTGTGAATATTTTGGTTTAATTAATTTCATAATATAATAGGCCCAAAACTGTTGGTCATATTATAATTGAAACTAATTAAAATACACATACGATGAATTTCGTGCAATGTATCTCGATTTTATTAGGTTGGCTGACGTTTCCTGAAGATCTATTTTGTATCTTCATTGTACAAAATAGAAATAGTTTCAGAAATTCGAAAAATGTTTGTTATTCACAAAACTAAGTTAAGCAACTTGCAAAACTTATCACACATGATATAAACAGAAGAAGGACATGACGGAGCAAAAATAGTGAAACAATCAACTTCACTTCGCCCTCATTTCTTTACTAAACTTCTAAAAGAAATGCGTTCCTCCAATATTAAAACAAACCGAAGCCCATCTCTTTAGCGAATTCCCTTCTCCCATTCTATCACATCACAATGAATCCAATTTTCCAGAATCCTTTGTGTTTAACGAATGATGCCGCACATTCTCCTATTCGGAGACAGAAAATGGGAATTTAATAATTCAAGGGATTGGCCGGACTCTTATTAGTTCCACAGAAAAAAGCCGAATTCCTTTCAGAGTGCCTCCACAACTAACACTCAACAGCAAAGTCTTTTTTTTAGATTAATCCACGAAAGAGTTCATTAATGTCATATATAATGCGTTTCGCTGGGTGTTTTTAATTCTTTGAAGAACAATAAATAGCAAGTGCTCTTTTATTCCTGCAGCGTTTTGACTAAGCGCACATGAAAGCAGATTCATACCGTTTCGCAATATTGCGTCATTCGCTTTGAAAAATATTTTTTGACGGAAGCGGATGCTCAGAAAAGAACTGCCAAGCGAAAGAAACCCTTAATAAAACACTCAGACGTCTCGCGAAGAGCGATATAGATGAAAGTCAGAGTCGCGACAATCGAAGAAATTGAATTCCGCGCATTATACCGGGGACGCCTAGCGCAGACCTCTCACAAGAACCATCGGCCACCAAAAGAAGTCGGTAGAGAGGCTTACAAATGTTGTATCCTGAAACGTAAAACGATTGCTTGACATACTTGTCTCGAGAGAGTGGGATAAAATTTGAATGAACCGGAGGTACAATTTTTTTTAAAAAATAAATGAGATATAGATTTTGTTATTTGGTCGTTGAGAATTTACAATGACCCTTCCTCCGTACTTCTTCGAACCCCCTAACTCATAGTTACAAATAAATAATATTACAATTTTGCATTGTAGCAGAACAAAAACTTCCACACCGAACCTGGATCGAACCACCCCTAACCCGACGGTTCATCACAAAAGGAGCGGTGGAGAGAGGAGCAGAAGGTAAGGACGAAATGCAGGTGAAGCACCTTAACTCCCAGCATCTTTCCTCTTCCAACAGTCCCGTGGGGCAGGGGGATGCCAATTAGAACCCCTCAACCCGCACTTCCTCCCAACACCACTTCACACCTTTAATTTAATTCAAAGTTTCCTCCTTCCCTCGGTGGCGAAAAGAGAAGCACTGCGGAGCAATAGGGGGGGGCACGCGGCGGGGCAGTGAGGGGACTTAAGGGGCCAGGAGCAGGGGCGGCGAGGGCAACCGCGACAAGGGGTGCCGATCTACTTTGGCCGCCCCACTCCCGGGAGATCAACTCCAGAACGTAATCCTCTTGAATTAGTAACGTGTTCCTGACTGGGATCGCAATCCTGGCCTGTTTTCACTTAAAGCGACTGCTCTAAACGAAGGAAAATCTCAGTCTCCGATACCTTTTCGCGATTCCGCTTCCATTACGAGCACCAGCGAAACAGTTGGTGTTCGAGTAGTTCGAATTACTTTGCTACACTTAATTCAAGATTTGTATATTAATGAAGGACTCAGAGCAGAATTTTGGAATTTAATTAAAATTTCCCGAAATCCACTTCGTTAGTTAAGAACATCTGAAATGCACTGTCCTGAAATTGTAAAGCATATTGAGAATAAAAAGTGCAAAGGAAAATCGACTCTTTGCACGAGTGTGCATTGCAATTATATTAACAATTTGTTCAGTTTATAATCCTAATTTCACGCAAACAATATATTTTGCAAAGGTAAATTGATTTACGCGGAGAATCAGGATGCAAATATTAATGAATTATTTTATCCTCAAACTCCAACAATATGATGACAACCTGCTTCCAAACAGTTCAGCCGGGTTAATTATTTGATCCATTAACTGTACGGCAAGACCATTTCGACATCAATACTAACCTAACGGTAAGAGCTTCTGGAGCGACAATATGAGAGCAGACAAAGTGAATCATTAGAAGTTTAATAATAACTCTCCAAGTATTATTATTTCACGAGAAAACCCGAATTATAAAAAACGTTAAGGAGATTGTGTGAAACTTGGCTCGGAAAGCGCGCCTCAAATCCGGCTGTCCTCTCCTGAGGAGCCGTAATCCCCCAATTAAGAAGCACGCATGCGACCATCGGGGCGATTCACGGCCGCCGCCGCATCCGCATCGCGCCTTCACCGTCCTCCAACTCCACCCCTCCCATTCCATGCCCTCGCGCCGAGCGCAGGTCCTTAAACCGGCGATTACCACTGAAATTAAGAAGTCGCGCAGTTGGGGCGCGCGAGCTCCGCCCGGCCGCGCCGGTTAACATTCGCCACTTAAATTAAAAGACAGCGCGCTGCGCCCATCGGCATAACGACGACGGCCGGGTCGGGGGGGGGAGCGGGCGGCGGCGTGTGTTTCGCTTGGGGCGATGGGCGCCTTGTTCGGAGCGGACGCGGTGAAAGGCCTGGCCGGGGTCAGGCAAGGAGGGAGGGAAGCGACGAAGCAAGACGAGGCGAAGCGGGATGGGTGTAACGCAGGAAAGAGAAGGGGGCGATGGTGGCAGGAGCGAACAGGGAAGGGCGGCGGAACGGGAGCGGGCTTTGCGGTGTTTGACCATGCGATGAAGGGTCGAGGGATTGATTGTTAGTGATACCGGGCGCTTCAACTGCCAATGTCATTATTTCTCTAAGCGTAGTGTATGGATTTCCTCGGGAGGTGGCGGTGATCTTGCCCTAATGGATGGCAATATCGGCGCCGGCTGGGTTTTCCCCAACCAGGTATCTCCCACCAGCGGAGCATATGGTTGAGTAGGTATGAATGCAACGTGGAGTGGGAAAAATAAGATGCGATGAGGCGAGAAGGTAAGAATCACGAAGAATCTGGGCGTAGCTTTGCTAGGCGGGAGAGTCTACACAAGCCAGAGACCATGAGGTGAAACAATTATGGGTGGGATGGAGTGAGTGCGGCAAAGCGTGATAGAGTACGGCGGACCGATGCTCTAATGGAGAAATGGAGAGAGGTAAGAAGCGGGAGAACAGGGCAGAGGAAGCATTGCGGCAGGCGTGGCAGAAAAGCGGGGTGTAAGATGGGCAGAGTTGAACAAGAGGGGCTGGTGAAGACTCGTATGCCGAGCTTGGTGAGTGCGGTATAATACGGATAGCACGAGTAAAACATTAAGTTAAAGCGAGGCAGGCTGGGCGAGGTGGGTGAACTTCCAGCAGACGAAGCGAGGTAAAGTAGGTGGTGCGGGGGGAAGTGGGCAGAGTGGTGCGGGCATGGATGCGGATATCGGATGTGCGGCTGGGCGCGGTGAGTGGAGCGAGGCGGACAGGCTAAGGTGCGCGAACGCGGCGAGGCGGGCAGAGCGGGATGACGTGCGTGGGCAATCAGCGGAGCGAGGCGAAGACAGACGAGAAATGTGTGAAGCGAGGCAAAGTGAGTGGAGCAGGAAAAGTGGGAGCAGGCGAAGTGAGCGGAGCGGGGCGAAGCGAGTTGAGCGGGGCGGAGTGGAGAGGAGCGAAGTGAGTGGAGCAGGTCGAAGTGAGTGAAGCGGAGCGACGTGAGTGGAGCGGAGCGAAGTGAGTGAAGCGGAGCGAAGTGAGTGGAACGGAGCGAAGAAAGTGGAGCGGCGCGAAGTGAGTGGAGATGGCGAAGTGAGTGGCGCAGGTCGAAGTGAGCGGAGTGGGGCGAAGTCAGTGGAGCGGGACGAAGTGAGTGGAACGTGGCGAAGTGAGTGGAACGTGGCGAAGTGAGTGGGGCGGGGCGAAGTGAATGGAGCGCGGCGAAATGAGTGGAGCGGAGAGACGTCAGCGGAGCGGGGAAGGTCGGAGATGCGGGCTAAATAGGGCTGAGCGGGGAAAGAGGGAGATGAGGGGCCAAAGTGGGCGGAGGGGGCAAGATGGGCAGTGGGATGGTCGGCAGCGAAGGAATCGTCGTTCGAGGGGGGCGGGGCCCGG